TAGCACAGGCCAAGACCTTCCCTGAGATGCTGGTTGTCGGGCAGTCCTTAGTGCTCGCTCTCCTGAGACTGAATCCCATTCCTCCGCCCAAGGAGGAAGCGCGTTGCCAGAGGCCCAGACAGCAGCTCCTCATGCCTCCCCATCCAGGACTGACGACTGATGTGAGACGTCCTGCTGCTTTTGCCACTCGGGCCCTGGGGACAAAAGCATGACCTCAGCTGACCTTCTTACGGTGAAAACCACCTGATGTCTCAGGGACCATTTGCAGCAGCCCCGTTCCCCGAGCACTCCAGCCTGGAGGTCAGCGTCTTAGTTTCCGTCTGTCCCCAGACCCGCCCCTTCTGTCTCTCTCTCTCTCTCTGTCCTAAGGAGTCGTCACTGAGACATTCGGGCAATTACCTTAGGACTCAAGACAAAATGACAAGAACAACGGCGACAGAAGATCCTCCACAGCCAAGCCGCGCCGGAGAAGCCCAGTGTTTTGTTTCGCCTCGCTCTGGAGAGAGAACCGTGTTTGCGCTGGTCTTAAAAGTAGTCCAGCTGTCGTGATAGCATTTGGCGGAATGCACTTTCCTTTTCCTCAAGGAGTCAACCAAAATATGATTTGGGGAGATGGGGAGAGGGAAGAGCAACGTCAGAAATTGGCAGAAAGCAGCCAGAAGCCCTCTAGAAACCCGGAGCTGACTTTTGTGTTTACTCTGGTGCCCAACCAAGAACCCAGGTGGGAGGGGCTCTGGGTAATTTCTGGGCTGTAGCCTCAGATGCCTGAGCAGTGGGATCTGCTTTGAACTTTAGTGACCTGTGGGGTTGTAAGCTTGGCATGGGGAGCATTCTGGCTGTTGATCTGATTGCCACCAAGTCCCCAGGGCCACTGATGAGCTCCCTGCCCTGGGAAATAGCAGGTCATGACTGCTCCAACACCAGCTGCTTTGGGGACCGCCTTTAGTCCCCTCACATTTGACCAGAAGCATTCAATACACAGAGCAGGTGGAGAGAGAGAGTTTGCTTCCTGTCTTCTTTCTAGCTCCAGGCGTTGGTGGAAGGACCATTGAAGGGGAAGTCAGAGAGCCAGTATGTCTATAAAGAGGGAAGGCTTGATCCTTGTCCCCTGGGGTGGGGACGCAGAGCTTCCCTGTATAACCCAGTACCTGTGTCCTGGGTTGACGCCCCCTCCCCTGAGCACAGCCAAGCCCGGGCCAAACTCTTGTTGGCCTTGAGCCTCCACAGGCTTGTCTGACCGACAGACTGGCTTCCTGCACCTCCAGCCTCAAATCCCCGGTTTTGAATGAATGTGGATTTCTGTCTGTGGCTAAAATCAATGCAACATGTTGGATCTTGAGAATGGCAGTCATTGAAGGGCCCTGAGAGTGTGGTCTGCGGGGTCAAGAATAAAGACCCCGAGTATGTTTACTCAATACTTGTGTCTTGGCCTTCTTTGGACACAGAACAATGAAACTGGTTTGTCTGGGGCTGGGGGGCTGGTACCCAATCTCTGGAGGGTTGTGGCTGCCAAGTAAGTCCCTACAGTAGCTTTTGAAGCCACCCCCTCCCTGCAGTGGGAAAGACCATTTTGGGAATAGTCCATTGAAAATATTCATCCCTTGTTAATGCCTGAGCCCATACTGGGAACCAGGCACAGTACTAAGAGCTTCATGTGAATTCTTTTAAGTCCTCACAAATCCCCAAGGTAGATACATTTTTTTATCCCCATTTTATATACAAGGAAAGGGTTACAGGGAGGTTAAGTAATCCCCCAAGGTCACGCAGTCAGGAAGATTCAAAGTTGATATCGGCTCCAAGCCTAGAGTCTTAACGACCAGGCAGTACATCTCCCTAAAGGGCTAAAGAAGGCTGGCACTACTTCATTCTTTTCTGTGATCAGTGCTGTCTCCCCCCTGTAGACGGAAGCCCCATGGGAGTTGGTCTTTATTTGCTGCTTATTCTCACTGCTCAACACATAGTTGGCACTCCTAAAAACATTTATTGAATGTAGGGACAATTCTGTTCCAATAGTCCTCCTTTGCCCAAACGTTCGGGGGTCAGCTCTCAGTCCAGATCAGAATTAAATGAACTCCCCGGCATGTCCAGAAGAGCAACTCTAAAACTGTCATAGCAGTTTCTGAGCACTTGGCTTGTGCCTGGCACAGGTGGGTGCTATCACTGGGCGCACTTCCCTGATGATCACGACACTTTTTTTTTTTTTAAGATTTTATTTATTTATTTGACAGAGATCACAAGTAGGCAGAGAGGCAGGTAGAGAGAAAGGAAGGGAAGCAGGCTCCCTGCTGAGCAGAGAGCCCGATGCGGGGCTTGATCCCAGGACCCTGGGATCATGACCCGAGCCGAAGGCAGAGGCTTTAACCCACTGAGCCACCCAGGCGCCCCTGATCACGACACTTTTGAGGGAGGTGTTATTCCCACGGTTATCTCCCACAGTGTAGCAGAAAGAGTTCTGGAAGGGTTCTGGAACTCATCCACTCTCTCGCATCTAGTAAGCAGCAGAGCTGGGACGCGGACCTCGGTCTGCCCATCCAGGTTTTGTGCATTCTGTTGCTGGCCAATCTAGGACTGGCGGTTGGTTTAGATGATGGTGTTAAGCAGGCAGCAGCATTTCGGTAAGGGGCTAATTTCATGAGCAGGCATTGCAGTAGTCAAAGCATTTGTGTTTGATGTCTTTGAAATCCTTAGGCAATCTCAAAGCCCTGAGAAGTTAGAAAGATAGAATCAAATACCAAAGACCTCTCAGGGCTTTTGTGAGGATTAAATGAGATCATTCACATAAAGAAAGTAGGATACAATGCCAGCTCAAAACTCAGTGGATATTAACCTGCTCTCGTGGTTATTATGTTCTCTCTTGGAGAAACTTAGAACTAAGGTGGGGATCAAATGAGACAATAAGGGTGAGGTCCTTTTGCAGACTCGGAGGCACTATTGGATGTGAGCTGTTGTCACACAGGGATCTGGATTCCAAAAGCCTACTCAACCCCAGCCTTCGCTCTGTACCTGCCCACCCAGCCCAACAGACCTTGAACAGGTCTCCCCCCACATTGATGTGCGTCTGACCTATAGCAATAAGATGAGGAGGCGACCACAGGATCTTGGTTGTCTCCTAAACACAATAGTGTAGCAAGACAAGAAACACAGCAGAGAATCCCAGGATCATTCATGCCTTTATGACCCAAGAACCAACTAAACGAGACCAGCCTATGTCCAGGTACAGAGACAAATAGCTCCCTCGACTGGTCATGGGAAAACCCAGGGCTTTTCTGTGGCTTCAGGCCCGACAGGTGGACTGATGGTCTTTGTGGGAACTCTTCTGCCGCGTCCTCATGGGATGGATCCTACCCAGGCTGAGCAGGGGGAGATTAAAGCAAACAAAAAAGAACTGCCAAACCAGACAGCATTTCAAATGACAATTTATTTTAATTAAATACAAACAAGGAAAAAAGGCACCATGGCCCATTCAAGTATTTTGCATAGATGTACAAATATTGTAAACAATTAATAGGCGGACAAGAGAGAAAAGGATCTGTTTTTCGTGAACGATCTCCAAATAAAAAGAAAATTCACATTGCCCTAGATCCCAGACACATACGTACACACAGTGGATGGTGTGAGAGGCTGCACAGAAGGGTGACTTTGGGGACACTGGCTTGGATTCTACAGAACCCCTCTTAGCAAGCTTCCCTAGGGATGGGGCACCTTTCCAGTTGACATTCCCTTGGGTGTCCAGCAGAGCTGTTATACACATATTTAACACAATCATGACTTTAGAACTGGTCCCCAGTGTGAAATATGCAAGTCTTCCATACCCTTTGCCAAATAAGAACAAATTTGGACATAGGCGAGGGGAGGTTTTATTCAAAAGGATTATTGCAAGAGACAGCAAGGGGCTACTGAAGTGTGGAGAAGGGGCTCCCCCAATCCTGTAAGATCTGCAAGCATCTCAGAGCTGGGGCAGAAAAGGGGCTTTTAGGGAAAAGTCAACGAGGCTAAAAAGAATGAATGGCAAGTAGGTAGTTACAACTTGGAGCCAGGCACCTGGGATAAAATCCCCCAGAGACAGGGAGACAGGGAGACAGGGGTGCTAGCCCCTTGAGGTTTACATTTCAGAGATGGCTCCCCAGTTCTTAAGGAAAACATTTCCATTGTAAAACTGGCAGGCTAAGTTAGTGTTTAAAAAGATTTCTATCCAGCTCCATTTGAACAAAGGGCAGGTTAACTCCACCAGACTTTAGTTGAGCTCCTCTTCTCCCCACCTGAACTTGGACCCACACTCAGGTCTGAGCCAGCACCCAACACACACCAGCCCCTTCCCGGGGAGGCTGAGCACAAGGACGGCCCCATTGCGGTTCTCTCTGGCCAAGTCCACTCCAGCGATCAGAGAAAAGGCCCCTTCATTCTGAGCTTTGAGATGCTCGTGGGATCTTGCAGGAGCTCCCCTGAGCGGTCTCCCTACTGCTAGAGCCCGCGCCCGGATCACAAGTTCCCTTTCCCCGCCTTGCAGTAAGCCTTTCCAATAAAGCCCCTCTTAAGGCTGTATTTGCTTTTATTTGTCACCTCAAAGCAGCACTCGGGCACAGGAGGGCAAAGGGAGCTCGCAGGGGCTGCTCTTGCTCCCGGGCAGCCTCCCTGGCCTCCGCCAAAAATGGCGACTCCTAGTCCCTGAACACAGCCAGAAGTGAAACTGTAAATAGAGCCCACCGCCAAAAGTCTCCATCAAATTTTAAAAATTCAACCTTCTTCCAGTTCACAGTACAGTTTTACGGGTGGAGGTGGTATTAAAATAACGGAAGACAAAAACAGAGAAACAATAAAATACAACCCAGGGCTCTTTCCGGTATGGATGCAGGGAGGGTGGATTTCAGGTTCGAAAGGCTCATGCAGCCACAGTGGCTGTGGCATTTTCACTTCAGAGCCTTCGACCTCCTTGTGTCTGGGAGAAAAGCTGGACATGCCACAGGAACGTCTGGGAGGCAGGCGGGTGGGTAGAAGTGTGATTTTTTTTTTTTTTTTTTTTTTTTTTTTTTTGGCCAAGGTGTTTTCACCTTTACTTTTGAGGGACCCAACCCTGAGGCCTGGGGCATTTGAAGTTACACAATTACACAGAAGGCTGTCCCCTGACCTAATCAGGCAGCAAGGAAGGTGGAAACTGGCTCTGGGGATCAACCAGGGCCCAAGTCTGGGAGATGGAGGCATGAGTAACAGTCTACCTGAGGGAAAAGAACCTCATTTTTCTGAGATCTTTCTAAATCCACCCCATGTGTGTTCCCAGGTGCGTATGCCAAATCTCCCACTTGTCCAAAACCCGAGAACATCTATTGAGCACCTGTTGTATGCAGAGAACTGTAAGGGGGCCCTGGGTTGGTGGTTGGGAGTGAAAGCTCAAGCTTCTTCCTTGCTTTGAGGTTTTCAAGAGTGAACAACGGCTCACTGCAGGAGGTGGGGACAGCACAGCACCCTTCTGGGGGTGGGAGGCCGTCACCAGAGAACATCTCCAGTGACGAGTCGTCCACTTTAGCAGAGCACCACATAGCCTTCCTTCCCTGCACCGGGGCTGGGGGGGTTGGTGGGGGGGGTAGTACCCATTGGAGTGCCATTTCCCCAGCTGCTCCAAGTTCTTTCTGTAAAGGTCAGATAAGGGCAGTGACCAGAGGAAAGAACACAAGGAAGTGGATGATAAAAATCCTGGTGTTCCCAGCTCCGATTCTGTTCCATCAAGACTGTTGGCTGCTTCTCTACAGATCTCTAGAGACAGGTCAGCTCTCTGCTCAGAGGGCAATGATCATGCCTCAAATAAATGACTAGGCCTAGGGACAGGCTGGGGCGTGGCCCCTTTGCTGCCATCCATCCCTGAGGACCTACCTTAGATTTCCATCAGGGAGTAGAGGGTAAGAACTTCACCCTACCAAGGCCACAAAACACAATGGCAAATAAAGCTTCGACGCTCTTGAGACACTCTTGAGAACCACATGGCAAATCCAGTGGCCAACCCTTGAGGCAGGCTCCTCGCTTGTAGGTTGCGAGCACCAGGTCTCCAAGAGGCTGAAGTGCTGAAGGCCCACTCACCACACATCAGGTAGGTCAGAGCTGGGAAGAAATTTCTGAAGGAGAAATCAAAAGTGCCGAGCACTTGGAAAGAGAAGAAAAGAAAAGGCAACCAAGAATGATTCCGAGTTGAGAGCCACAACCTTTGGCGTTGGCTCAGAGGAGGCCCAAGCCTGGTGCTCCCTCTGCTGTCTACACTGCCCACAAGTAGTACCTGTCAGAGTCAGGGGGACCCGTGTAAGTAAGGGGAGGTGGGGCTTTCGGGGAGAGGGGGGAGGGGAGGGGACTTCTCTTGGTCACATGTGGCACAGACCCAGGAGTGGTGACCTCAACCAAGCCCTGGGCAGGGCCGCGATGGAAGCTGGTTTGACCCTTCTCAATCTCAGAGCTAAAAGGGATGAGTAAGCATCCGGCCTCTGTCTAGCTTGGGACTTTCAAGGAAGACAGAAGCCGTGGAAAGCTCTGAGGCATGGATGGCTTCTCCAACCCAAGCCCTGGGCCGAAGGGCTGAACAGGACCTTTCCCAGCTGAGCTTACAAGCTCCGACAGCCCAGACCATCCCCACTGGCACCTCTGAGGTGATGGGCCAGCAGGAGGGAGGTTGGAGAAGAAGCCGCCATTCATCCTCTTCAGTGCTCTCTCCTCCCTTCCCCAGGGCAGTATATTGCACAAAACAACGCTTTGATGACATCGGATAGTAGTCTCTCTGGGCCTCCCAGGAAGCTAAGGAGGCACTGAGTCAAGAAGGAGATTTCCGGAGATGCAGTGGTTCTGGGAGGATGGAAAGAGAGGAGGAAGGACTTGGAAGCGGCCAGACATGCTTGTTCCAGACTCCATGGCCAGGATCCTCTGGGGGGGTTCAGAGTCCTCAAGGAAAGGCAGAAGCTCCTTCAGAGGGGTCTAGGTCTTCGAGCCGATCATCCCCCCAGCCCTCTGCGATCTGTATTCAGGAAACTGTGGAAAGACAGAGAAGAGAGATAGAGAGAGAAATCAGCTAAATGCTGACCAGTAGAGTCGACGGGAGCTGTCCTCTGGCTTTCGGCCGATCAGAAGGATAAACAGACCTTCAGGTAAGAATGGATTCCCATAGAAGTCTGTCACCATGTCTGTGTGTCCACTGTCAAGCCTCCAGCGAGAAGCCAGGTGGGGGCCCCAGCCCGAGTTGCAGGTCAGCCTGCAGACTTCCCAAGCCTGGTGGGAGCCCAGGGCAGTCAGCCAGTTTTCTAGCCTCCTCCCCCCTGCCCCGACTCCCGGACTGGCAGCCTGAAAACGTCAGCCCCAGGGAAGAGGTCAGAAGAGGGGCCGTTTGTAAATCGTCTCCCATAAGCTGGCGGAAACGAACTGCCTTGACCTTTACAGCAGCCTGACGGGCTCGAGAGCGAGTTGCTCAGAGTCATTCAGCAGGAGAGTTGTAGACCGTCTGGAAGCCATCATAGTTCAGCCTCCCAAGCCTCTCCTAAGAAACCAAAAAACTCTAGCCCTAACTTAAAGGAAAGTCATATAGGCACCAAGTAACACTAAGCTTTTGTCCTTGGCTTTTGTTCGGGAAATTCACACCCCTGCTAAAAGAGGCAGGAATTGGTCTGTTTTCTCAACCACATTCTTGCCTCCTTGGAGCCCCATGGCCCCAACTTATGCCTTGAGGGCTTCCAAAGATTTCTAAAGACTCACCTTTGGGACAGGTGCTCCCAGAGGCCGGGGCTGAAGAGGGGTAGTGGCAGTGGGCTGCAGGATGGATGCACCGCCTGGCCGAGGGAGGCTTTTGCGGCCTGGCACTGGGTTTGCTGGGAGGGCCTTCTGCGGTGGCCGCGGCCTGGAGAAATCCTGCGGAGAAAGCCACAAGCCTCACTCGAAGGCCAGAAGGGCCTATTTGAAAGAAAATGCTCCCCAAATATTACTGATCCAAATCAGAGGAGCAAAGAGATATACTGCATGGCCCTATTTAAAAACAAATTGTGGGGGTTCCTGGGTGGCTCAGTGAGATAAAGCCTCTGCCTTCTGCTCAGGTTATGATCCCAGGGTCCTGAGATCGAGCCCCACATCAGGCTCACTGCTCAGTAGGGAGCCTGCCTCCCCTCTTCTCTCTGCCCGCCTCTCTGCCTACTTGTGATCTCCGTTACATAAAAAATAAAATCTTAAAAAAAAAAAGAAATTGTGTGCATGTGTCTACAGTTTTAGGGAAAAGCTTTTCTGGACAGCAAGTTGGCATTATCTGTTAAAATGAGAAATGGTCATTCTCCAATCTGATCATTTCATTTCCTGCTATTTGCATAGGCACGCAAGAACGAAACTGCAAGGATGTCGCTTGCAACACTGTTTGTGACAGCAAAGGCAATCACAAAGAGCCCAAATGACAAGTTAGCCCAAATGACAAGTTATATAGTAACAGATGAAGTGGTGTTAGTGGTGTTTGAAAAGAGTAAAGCAGGGCGTACAGCTGAGATGGAATGATGGTAGAGAGCCATTGCCAGCTGACATACAAGTCGGAGAGGACGGTTTATGTAAAATAAATCACCACCTTGTCCCTCCATCACCCCCCACCCCAATGTCAATGTAAATGTACAGAAGAAAGTCAGAAAGGATATAGACCAAACTGATAACAGAGGTTAGGGATGGGGTGTGAGTGGGGAGGGGGTCATCCAGGGGAACATTCAATTATTTTTAACATGATCATATATGTGTATTACTTGAGTAAATTAAAAAAAAATTTTTTTAAAGAAGAAAACATATTTTCTGTACTGGTTTTCTGTGGGTGGTGCAATTAATGGGATCTTCACTTTGTGCTTTTGTATTTGTTTTGTTACCTTCTCAATAAGGTCTTCCCTGACCACCTTACTTAAAATTACAACACCCCTCACCATAGCTTTCAGGATTCCCAGACCCTTTTATCCCAATCTCCTTTTTTTGGAGGGGACGTATATATCACTTACCCCTCCTCCAAAATACCATAGAACTTACTTATTTCTTCTTTTCTGCCTTTCCACCTGCCACAAGACCAGAAGCAGGGGCAGAGTTCCTTGTCTGTTTGGTTCACTGATCAGTGCCTAGTACACAGTAAGCACTCAACACATATTTGTTGAATAAATAAATTTTTGAGGGGCACCTGGGTGGTTCAGTTGGTTAAGCATCTGCCTTCAGCTCAGGTCATGATCCCAGGGGTCCTGGGACTAAGCCCCACATCAGGCTCCCTTTCCTTCTGCACCTCCCCCTTGCTCGTGCTCTCTCTCTCTAATTAGTAAATAAAAAATATTTAAAAAAATAAATTTCTGAGCTAGTCAAAATTCTTCAAATACGTATTTCTTCTGCAATCAATTTTTTTTTTTTTTTTAAACAGGGCGAAGAATGGACCATACCACCACTCACAGAACCCTAAGACTGTGAGGTGTGAGACAGAAGCCAATTTCAGTCACTGGGAGTTCCAGGGCCCAAAGTCCTTGATTGTTCCCCTTCCTGAGGTCCCTAGCAGGCCTAACAATGGCCAAAAGGCAAGCAAAGGGAGAGGGCAGGAGCAAATCAGAGAAGTGGGATTTTGGGAAAGAAGCTTCTCATCCATCAGAAAACAGAGCAGACACTAAAGCTCAAAGAACAGAAGAATAGCAGATTCTTGGAACCCAAAAGCCATGTTGTCCCACTCCATCCCTTCCCCCAAGGACAATGCAATCCCCCACCCTTCCAGCCCGGACAGCTGCCAAACGGTGGGGGCTGCTGGAGGCCGGGACAGAGACCTTCTGAGGGAAGGCAACAGCTGCGAGCAGATGTCAGGCTGCTGTGGGAAATGCTGTGTTCCTGAGCTGCTTGCCGTGCAAAATGAGCAATCGCGGGGCAGGGCGGGTATCTGGGCAGGAGCCGGGCAGGCAAGGCAACACCAGGCCTCCTGCAGCAGCATCCTGCCACAGGCCACATTGCAGACCCAGCTGGGCTTGACCAGGGACCTCAGCCAGCACTGCCAGAGGCAGAAACAGCCATGAGACGCTCTGGCCCACTGCTCACTCAGGGGGGCAACACCTCCCTCAGCCAGGCTGCGTGAACCAGACACGGGGGGCATCAGCAATTGTTCCCCAAGTCCCATCCGTTTTCTCTCCTACGCATCTCCCGTCAGCTTTGATCCAGCACTCCTGCCACTCCCTGCTCCGGGCTACCATCATCTCTCCTCTGGGAGGCATTTAAGCCTTCCGACTAGCATGTCCAGACACCCGGTCACAGCCCCTCACATCAGCAATTTATACTGCAGCTGGAGGGGACCTTCCATTTTTTAAAACCAGTGTTTTAGAGTTGAACTGTCATATGCATATAAAAATGTGAATCATAAATGTACAACTAGATGAATAATCATGAAGTGAACACACCTACGTAATCCCTACCCGGGGCACGACAGAAGATTAACAGCCCTAGGAGCAGCTGGGGGTCCCTCCCAGCCACTGCATCCTGCTCCTGCCTAAGAGGTAGCCCAAAGAGCAATCCTTATAAATGGAAAAGTGGATCATGTCATCATGCCCCACCACGGGCACCATGCCCCACCACTTGCTCTACATTCCTTCCCAAGGAATGTAGAGCAAAGCCCTGACTGGGGTCTGGCACAATCTGGCCCTTCCTGATTCTCCAGCCTCACCTCATAGCTCCTCAGGCCCAAAGGAGCTCCCTATCGGCAGGTCTCTGGACCAGGAAAAAGCTCTCCTCTAGAGGTCACCTCCTCAGGGAAGCCTTCCTAGATTTCCCAGAATAGGTCAAGTCCCCCTATAACTCTCTTTCTGAGAACCCCGACCCTCTCTTCTCAGTACTGTTCCCCAGTGTAACTACGCATATTGGGGTCTCTTGCCCAGTGGAATATGAGCCCTGTAAGGCTGAGCTCGCGTCTGCTTTGCTCACTGCTGCCCAGTAGGGAATAGAAGAGCTAGCGAACAGTGGAGCTGAGATCTAGACGGTGAGTGTCCCCAAGGCAGAGTGGTATCTCATTCAGCTGGGGAGACCCCATGGCCTAAATGAGGAGCTGGCACACAGGGTGGTAGAGTTTGGAGTCAGACCGGGATTAAATCCTAGCTCTTCCAATTACTAGGTTGCGGCCCTAAATCCCCGGACTTTGGAATGAGACTGTATTTGGAGGCAGGGACTTTAATGAGGCAATTATGTTTAAATGAAGCCATGAGAGTGGGCCCTCATCCAGCCCGACTGCTATCGTGAGAAGAGGGAATCTGGACACAGAGATATCAGGCACAAAGGAAAGACTGACCGAAGACACAGGAGAAAGTGACCACCTGACCTGCGAGCCAGAAGAAACCAACCCTGCCGACAGCCCGGTCTTTGTTTCTAGCCTCCAGAACTGGAGGAAGACAACTTTCTGCTCTTTGAGCCCCTGGTCAGGGGGTCGGTGGGACTCAGTTAGGGCCCCAAAGCCAACTAATGTACTCTCTGCCTCCTCTCCTCATTTCTGCCCTCTTGCTCTTTTCCCTTCTCCCCTCTCCTCTCTCCCTGCCAGGCCTTCCTCTCCCTTTCTGCATGACCATTTTCCATCCCATTCCTGCCTCAGAGGAGAAAACTGGGGGGCCGGCAGCTTCACGCCACAGAAGCAAACCTGACGTGCTCAGCTCTGCTAAACTGCAGTGTGGCCCTGTGTCCGGGGGACCCTCCCAGAGCTGGGGCCAACCCTGCAGGCTCAGCCAGGCCCAGTGGAGCCCCTAACCATGCCCAACAAAAGCTGTCCCAGGAGGAAAATAAACAAGTTGCCCGGCTCACTTGAGCGGTCACCCCCAGAACACATAGGATGGCTCTGGAAGGCACCGAGCTCGACCCCAGCCAGGGAAATGTGTGTGTCTCTGGTGTGGGAAATTCTGCAAGAAGATGCAGTGGGAGCCATTCGCGCACAGACAGGCCAGATAAGAGGCTGCTGGCAGGTGACTCACACCTTCCAGGGGCCCCTGCCCCTTGACCTGCCCTTGAATTAGCATCCCCCGTCAGACTTCCCAATTAACAGAAGGTATAATTTGTTGGGACAAGCACTATGATGAGAGAAGTACAAGGGCACCAGACTCAGGCTTGAGGGGTCAGAGAGGGCTTCTTGGGGGAAGTGGCCTCTAGGAGGACATCTGAGGATGAACGGGAGGTGGCCATGCAGAAGTGGGGGGAGAGGCTACCAGGCGGAAGATGAAGCATTTGCCAAGACTGAGAGGAGCACAGGGAACTGAGGGAGTGAGGGAGGTTCATTGTGGGAAGAAGGGAGGTAGTGGCCTGGTGTAAAAAGGCCAACCCAGAAGGTAATCCTCTGTAGTGTGGGGGCTGCCTGGGGAGTCCATTTCTCCACGCTCACCAGTCTCCCACTCTGGGTGCTCCCTGCGTTTCCCAGAATGCAGGTAAGGCGGTCCGCTCCCGTCTCAGAGTCCCATCCGCACAGCCTGCCACTCCCTATTGCTGGCAGCCCTGAAAGCACAGCCCTAATCCAGGGCTGCTGGGAATCTGCTTACCTGGGAGAGGATGCAGTTTGGGGCCGGGGGGACAGGCCGGCTTGGAGGAGGCCCCCTGGATGACTCCTTCCGCTCTACTTGAGACCCAGCCCCCGGGGAGCTCCTGGCGGTCCTGCTGAGTGGCGTCAGCAATGGCACAGGTGGGGAGCCACCATGCAGGTAGTCGGGAGGGGGCCGAGGAGGAGGCTGGGAGGGCTTCCGCAGGGTCTCGGGGGTGTTGGTCACCTGTATGCATGAGACAAGGGATTCCTGAGAAACAGGAATCCTCAATATGCTGCAAAACTCAGAGAGCCCTTGCACGTCTCACCGGGATGGCCGGAGGCCAAAGGGAGGACGTGTTGACATACCAAACCCCCAGGGGCCCAGGGGTCAGGTGCAATCTTTAAAGTCCTGAGGGGATGTGAGAACCAGCAGAATCTCTCTCAAGCCAAGAAAGTGGCTTTTGTTACCAATCCCACAAGCCCACAGAAAGCTTTTAGGAAAATCCAGCAGGGTCCTGGGGATAAAGGAAAAGCAGCCAAGTTCAGTGGTGCAAAGCCCTTACCTTTCGCTTGCCCTGGGGCGTCTGCAACTTAAACGTTGGGTTGGCGTGGCCAGTTCCACTGTTCTGAGACATCCTGAAGGGACAACTAGTAACAAGGATGGGGTAGAAGGAAGAAGGGGAATGTTCATTGAGGGTTAGTGTCTGAGTTCCCTGTGGCCCAGCACGGCCACTAAGCAGCTAAACCCCCCCATGTCTGCTCTGGACAACGTGAGATTAGTCCCCCTGAACCCCGGCTCCTTACGTGTGGAGACACTGTATGGCCAGTAGAGAACTCTCAAGGAAAGAGAGCCAACCTTTACAAAACAGAATTTTCCTTGACACCTTCTCTTTTCCCTTTTGTGAACTTTCTTGTTCAAGGAGACACAAGGATGTCACCAGCTATCCACCAATTCCCTCAGGCGTAGATCCAGGTAGGCTTAGGATTTAAAATCCTCTCCAGAACAAGTATAATTTAACAGGGGACTCAGAAACCATATACCCCCGGGACCCAAAGGAGTGAATTGCTGGGGGGAAAAAAAAGCCTTTGTCTTGAGTGGATGGCCAGCCACCCCTGTGACTGACTTAGGCTGGCCAGTCCATCTGGGTTGCCTCAGTTTCCTGCTCTTTGAAATGGAAATCCAGACAATTACAAAGAGGATGGCAAATAGATTTCATTTTGTATTCCAACTGGAATTGGTTAGAGACATTCTGCTGAGGATTCTGAAGTGAACACTAGTAGAGAGAACTTACAGTAAGATCAACTAGTAATGTTTGTCATGGTGGTAAAGCAGGGCAGAAAAGAAGATGGCGGCATGGATGTCTCACTTGCCTTCTCTGAATTAGACCCACTACCACAGGGTGTTTTTGTTTTGGGGGTTTTTGTTTTGTTTTGTTTTGTTTTGTTTTGCTTCTACCACATTCTACTTACAAAAAACGTTATGACCCACAAGTGGACCCAAGTCCTTTCTGGCACCCCATCATACCTGAACTGTTGCCTCAGTTTCAAAGGGAGGGCTAAGGGCTTGAGTTGGCCCAGTTTGTTGTTCTGTTTACAGCAGTAGTAGATCAGCAAAAGGACCGCCAGCATGAACAAGGACGTGAACACTCCAGCTATCACAGGACCAACACCTTCCAGAAACAGAACCCAAGTGAGAAATTCAGAAGCTGTTCAGGCTGCAGCAATGGCCTGATTCTTCTTCAGATATTTGATTTACATTTAATTTGTGTTATTTATTTTAAATAAAGAAGTATAATGAAACACACACATTAGGTACCACTGGGAAACCATGAATATTGGCTTAAACAGTCAGGTCAACTGGCTTTGTGCAGACCTTATAATGAAGTTTCTCCAGTTCCTTCTGTTTAATTGGAGCGTTCCTTTTGAGACAAGGAGCTCAAGTTCTATTATTACTTACCACTAGTTTTCAGCCCGAATATGACTTTTCTGGATGCAAAGCAACCAACCCAAAATGTTGAGAGGCTGAGACTGATCAAAGACTAGAAGTCTCACAAATAATCCATAATCTCATATTTGGTTTCATCACAGCTGCCTCAGTGTTCTCACAAATTACACATTTAAATGAACAAAATATATATACACCTGTGATATTACTACTTTTACCCATTTTATATATTGGGGTTTCTTCTCTAAAAGACTTCATTCAAATAAAAGTACTTTGCTATTAAAAAAAGAAAGAAAAAAAAACCCTTGGAAACCAAAAGGCTAGAATCTCTGTGATTTACCCTAAAAATTGTAAGTTTTTCCACATGTCTGTTTCTCCATTTTAAGCTTGGTTCATCCAAGGACTCTGAACTGCTATAATGTGCCCCAGGTTCATGATTCTTTTTGTGTGGCTGAGAAGGACTGGTCACCAGCCCCGTAGTCCAAAATGAGATGAGATTATTCAATAACCCATGATCTCTCTTGATCTCTCCCTCCCTCAAGGAGTGTCACCCTCCTCAGTAGAAATAAGGGAAAGAACAGCTGAGAGGAGCCCCACACCGGCCTGCCAGCCTCAGCCACTCTCCCACTTAGCCCCCCTTTTTGTTCCCTCATCTACAAAGTCAGGACAATGGAGCGCACTCATTCTTTGTCTACATCGTGCCACCCACCCCTTCTCACAGAAGTGGGCAGAGCCCCTGTGCAGGCCAGATACTCACTGTCGAGGGGCATGGGCCCGCTGTCGATGCTACCCCCCTGGCCCGGCGTGTTGCAGAAGGGCGGGGCCCAGCCCGGGAAGCAGTGGCAGTTCTGGTTGTTGTTGCAGACCTGGAGCGAGGGAGGGGCACATGTGTCAGCACCCTGGAGGGCTCCGGTCCGCCAAGGGGCCCGTCCCCCACCAAGGCATTGGCGCAGAGGAGCCCCAGAACCCTGGGCACACGTACCCCGTGGCCATTACACTTCTTCCCGCAGCCTTCCGTTTCAAAGAAGGAGGTGTTCCTGCACTGCCCCTCGAAGCAAATCTGTAGCGAGGAGAAACCAAACGGTCAGTCCAATGGAAGGGATGCTGGTCAGCCACCAGGAACCAGGGCTTTTACACTTAGAACGTGTGGGACTCAAAAATGAACGCCGTTTTGGGTATTTATTACAGAGAAAAACTGAAAATGGCCTAAAAAGGGGCACCTAGGTGGCCCAGTCATTAAGTGTCTGCCTTTGGGATCGAGCCCCATGTTGGTCGGGCTCCCTGCTCAGCGGGAAACCTGCGTCTCCCTCTCCCACTCCCCCTGCTTGTGTTCTCTCTCTCTGTGTCAAATAAATTAAATAAATAAATAAATGAATGAATAAATAAAACAAAAATAATAAATAAATAAAATCTTAAAATAAAATCTTAAAAAAAAAAAAAGAAAATGACCTGAAAAACCAGGACAACCTGACGGTTAACTAAATTCTGCTATTCCCTTTGTGACTGGGGAGAAAATAACAAACATTACATTTTTAAAACATTATATTTAATATAATAAATATGTTATTACATTCTACATTAATGTGTCAGTTATATGTTAGTTACTTTGTTATATACTCACATGCACTGATTTTAATATTATCCTTAAAAAATAAAAAAGGTGACAGCAGTCAGCTCTGTGAGTGCTTCACATCTTTTTTATAATTTTGTTCTCAGTTAACTGTGAAATAGGTGCCCTTATTTTCCCCAGGCTTCTGGACTAGAGTTTAGTCCATTCCATAAATCATATAATAATTTATGATGAGGACAAAAGTGATACAAGCTAGCTACTCTTTACAGGGATCCTCTCATTTAATCCTAATGACAATTCTATGGGGCAGGTCGTGCTATTGCTAACGTGCTTTATAAAGGAAGCCACTGAGGCTCGGGGAAGCTGGGAAGGTGGGATTGGAGCCCAGGCACGTTCCCTCCAGAGCTCACATTTGTCAGTCACTCCTCTCTCCCCTGAGTGAGGCAGTACTCACATGGTTGTAGCCACACTTGGTCCCAGTCATCACCAGCCCTGGGTCCAGCATGTCACCCTCCTCCTCGGGACCACGGTAGACATGGGTGCCCCGGCACCGGATCTGCCTCCCATTCAAGATGATGGTGGTATCGATGGGCACTGCGTTAGACTCCAGCGGCCGAGCCTCAGAACTCTGACACTGGATCTTCCCACACTTGGCATCTCTGAGCCCGAGAGAGAGGGAGGGAGGGAAGGAGGTGGAATCAGAGGCAGGGGAAGAGCTGGGGCACAGAAGAGCTTTGGTCTTTCTCGACCAGGAGAGCAGCTCAGATAGGGGAGGAGCCAGGGAGCTGTGTGTGCTCTAGGAACCCAGCAGGAGAGATCTCATGTGAGCTTAAGACTCAGGACAGGAAATAAGATCCTTGTCCGCAGGTAGATCTAGGCCGGAGAACCAGCCTGGGGAAGTCCTCTCTACTGCAAAGACAACTGTCTGACCTGAGCAGCTATCCACTTATCCTCCAGCCACCTCCTTGCACTTAGGGGCTGCAGCCAGAAGCCTGGTGTCAGCCCCAATGCCCCATTCTCCCTTGCTCCTGGGTTCAAGTGATTTTTGAGCCATCAATCGTCCCTCATACAAATTAACCCTAAATCACATCACCATCCTTCTCTACCTGGACACCGGGGGTTGGATCTCCTTGCCTCCTGTCTTGCCTCCATTGGAGTCCAATTTCCAAACTCCTCTCAGCCAAAGTCCAAACTGCCCTAATCATGCCTTCATGGCTTTTCATGATCTGGTTCCTGCTCAGCCATCCAGGCTCATTTCTCAGCAGCACCCCCTCCACTATACCCCAACATCATACTTAACTACATCAAACTGTTATCACCTCCTCCTACCACCAGCTTTTCTCTACTCATCTATCTACTCTCCCATGTGCCCGCACCATTCCCCATCCTGTTCAACTAGATAATTTCTCCAGATCTCAGTATAGGTGTACCTTCCCTTGGGACACCACCTTGACCTACGAAGACCAGGTTGGGTGGCTCTTTCCACAGTTCTGTTATCACCTGGTATTGTTAATTAAAAGTCCCACATATTAGCATCATACCGGCACATGGCAAATGCTCAACAGATGGGTGGATGGTTGGTTGAAATGAATGAATAAATGAATGAATGAATGAATGACAGGCTATTCAGAAGAGGGTATAATTAGCATCCCACAGAAATGACCCAAGAGAGCTGATTCCCTGCCCAACTGTAAGTTCCCAAAAGGAAGCATAGCCAGCTCTCTAGGAAGCACTGCCATCCACACTGTCGTTCTGACTTCCTTAGACTGAATGGTACATTGTCTAACAACGAGCCTGGCATAGGGGACTGACTGACAATTATTAAAGGCCCAGGCTGCTGATCTGGGCAGGAGTGAGGACAGAGCAGAAATGGCCCTGTCACCCTTCGTCTTCTGGAGTTAGCCCTAAGGTCATCACCTCATGTTGCACTTTCTGTGTTCCCCATTAATGTCTTTTCCACAGTTTCCAAAGGTGTCTCCTGCCACATTCACCTTCTCGAAGCAGAGATCAGGAGCAGGCCGGGCTCCTGGGTGGGGAAGAAACATTTATCAGTATACTAGCCAACTTTAGGTGAAGTCAGAAGCCCCCAAAAGTGCAAAGCTAGCCCTTGGTAAAGTCATGAGGTTAAGAACGTTTCTGGGGAGGGAATGGTCAGGTTCTTCTTCCTGTACCCCATCAGGTTGTTCCACCCCCAACTCCTCATAAAGACCTATTCATAGAAAAAGGTTTTATGTCAGTTCTTTATACCATATTGAGGTGTTATATTTGCGGGAGGTTTGTGTGCTAAGCCTTTTCTGTAATGAAAAAGCCATGTCCCATTTCGGATTTTAAAGTAGGTAATAAATGCACAGAGTTTTGAAGAAATAAAGTATGTATTTTTCTAAGTAGCCATTCCTGTTCCTACTTCCTCACAACCCTGAGAAGTAATCACAACTAACAGTGTATCTTCTAAAGATAACTGTATCTCTCTTCTAGAAACAATTCTTATGTATCTTCTAGAGATAATCTATCGAATAAAGAATGGCAGCAATTCTAATCACTATTCTGCAACTTGCATTTTCCACTTAATTTATTGTGGGAGATGGTTTTATTCAGTACATACAGAGTTGTCTCCTTCTTTTACTCAACTGCAGTGGGGTCTACGACATGGGTGTACCAGGATTAATTTAATTGGTCCCTACCGAAGGATATCTAGGGTCCTAGAGCTATCACTAACACTACCGCAGTATCCTTCTAAATCTATCTTCACATACATGGGCAAATAGAGGAGTAGGATGCTCTCCTAAGTAGTGGAATGGACAGGTCCAATGGGAAGCTCACATGAATTCTTATATCTTCAAATTGCTTTCCATAGGGGTTGTACCTATAGGTCTCCTCACATTTTCCACACTACATTATTACCACTCTTATTATTATAGTTATGGTATTAAAATGATATAATGATTATTATATTACTGTTTCAGTCTTTGCCAGTCCAAGATATGAGAAATCCCATCTCATAGTAGTTATAATTTGTTTCCACTTAATATAAGTGAGGTTAAATATCTTTTCACAGCTAAGGGTCATCTGCATTTCCTTTTCTGTCTCCATCCTCTGCCCATTTTTCAGTTGGGTTATTCTTATCCATTTACCCGCTCTGAGGATTTAAAGCATTGAGGAACTGGGAGGAATGCTGTTCACTGTCTCTCTGAAGGTCTACCCTGAGTCAAGGGGAAGCAGAAAGGTAGTATCTAGAGATGCCGCCTGGAAGCGGTGGGGTGGGAGGAGGGCTGCTCTGTAGGACAGTCCTTACCAGGCCCCCACAGCTGCTGGCATTGCTCCTGGTAGGTGAGGCACATGCCATTGTAGCAGTAGGCCTGGCCGCCCTCACAGGGAGTGCCGTCCATCTGGTAGAAGTTGGTGGGGCAATGCGGAGACTTGCCCGTGCAGAATTCTGGGAGGTCGCACTGCCGTGCCTGCTCACGGCACAGGGTCCCAGGTGCCAGCAGCTAAACCAAGAGGAACAAGAGGGGAAAAAATAGTCAGTCTCCTGCATGTCCTCAACCCGACCAGCAAAGGACTCGTGAGCATCCCTCTCGTGGAACAGAGTTTCCCTTTTCCATTATCCCAGGCACCGCTGTTCCGCATGACCTCATTAGCTTCAACCATCATCAACCTTTTAAGATGAATAATGACTTAGAGGTTTTCAAGGTGTTTTCACAGATGCTAGCTCATTTCCTCTTCTTAGCAGTTTTAAGAACTAGGTAAGAATAATATTTAGGCAACAATTTACAGTTTACTAAGTGCTTTAGTAAGAATGGTTACTTTTATGGAGCTCCCACTTAATGGCCAGTACGAATTATTACCTGATTTACTTTTCCTGAGAGTTCTGCATAACATATAGTTATCCCTAATTTACAGATGACGAAACCTGAGGCAGAAGAGGTTAAGTGAGGTATCAAAAAGTCTGCTGGTCAGTAAGTGGCTGAAGAGCCAGGACCACTAATAAATTCACATGAATGTGCGTGCGTGCGCGCGCACACACACACACACACACACACACACACCATTCACACAACACCCCCGAGTTTACAAAGCACTTGAGCAGTAATATATCCCCCCATTACTGAGCCAAGCACTGGGCTAAGTTACACATTCTGATCCCATGTGAGCCTCACAATATCCATGAGCCAGATGCTGTCATTTGCCTCTTGGTGGAGGTAAAATAACCTGATCGATAGCACAACGGTGGGCAATGATAAAGATGAAGTTTCCCATCCGAGTCTTCCCGTGTCCCTGGGTGGTCAGTGGGTCCGTGTTATTAACACTCCTCCCATTTTGCGGATAAGGAACTTAGACTCACACGGTTAGTAGGCGGCCCCAGATCGCACCAGAGGGTTTGAACGGAAGGTCGCAGGCTCCAAGGCTCATGTTTCTGCACACACTTCTCTCTAGAGAATCCTTTTTGAGAACCAAACTGAATGGGCATTGTCCATGGTTATTCTCCAGCCCTTGTCCGAGCCTCAAAGGACCCCACCCAGCACAACCTCCACGGGGAGATGCCAAGTCTACCCTGGAGTCAAACTAGATGGTGAGTTTCCCCAGGCCTGTAAGGAAAGCTACATCTGAGAAGAGGCCATCCCTACTCCCAGGGCACCCCACACCACCCACAAGGCCTTCCCAGGAGAGAAGGCAGAGAATGGCCCCGCTGAACAGTCTGCTGAAAGCACGGAGCCTTGGCTGCCAGGGCGGACCCTGGCGATGCGTGGAGGAGGAAGAGGCAGGACGTGTCTCCACCACCAGAGCAGGAGGGAGGTGGAGAGGATGCACCTGGAGCCAGCCTGCCTGGCTTCAGATCGCAGCTCCTTAACCAGCAGTGGGGACTGGGGCAGCTGCTTAACCTCTCTGGGCTATCACAGAGTCAACGGGGATAATAACCTTTTCATGGGATTGTTACAAGGACTGCTCTCAAACAGAGCACCGGAACAGTATCTAGCACATAACGAGCACTTGGCAAGTGGGGGATGGAAGCGTAGGTCCAGAGTTCCTAGCCAAACTTTGGGGACAGATGGGCTTCTGACTTTTCAGATTTCAGAAGGTAGACATTACACACGTGTACACACATATATACGTATATGCATTCACACATTACATATGTCTATTATATGACCCCCCCCGGAAGGCCTAGGGTTATACTTTATAATCAAACACATTAATTTTTCTGCAGCACCACAGAAATATTCACTTTGAAAGTAGCTTTCTTAAAAAAAGACTGTCATTACGTCAATTCAGGTAAAATTTGCCACCAAATGTGTTAAGAAATTTTATTCCCGGTTTTTAGAATTTTCTGAATTTCAGAATTACAGATAAGAGATTGTAAAGCGATAGTGGCAATGAGTAGCAATACCCTCCACATCGATACTAGGCGTGTAGGCTCCACAAGCAGGGAAGCATGGTTCAGCCCCTCCTGGCCGTGTGACTGGGGGTCAGCCACTTATTCCCTGAGCCCCAGTTTACTCATCTTAAAGTGAGGAGGATGTTAATAGGCGTCTCATGGGACTTTTGTAAGGACTGAATGAGATAATATATATAATATATATCTCTGCATAGTACCTGGCATCTAATAAGAAGTCCATTGATATTAATCAAAATTAGGTCGATTATTACTACGAGCTCCAAATGAAATCAAGCCTACTCTCTCTGAACACTTATTTTAAGAGAAAAAAAAAAAGTCTTCCTTCCATAAAACAAAGTCAGGGAGATAGACCATAAGAGACTCTAAACGATAGGAAACAAACTGAGGGTTGCTGGAGGGAAGGGTGGGTGGAAGGGGGGAACTGAGTGACAGGCATTAAGGAGGGCACGTGATGTAATGATCATTGGGGGTCATAGACAACTGATGAGTCACTTAACTCTACCTCTGAAACTAATAATACACTATATGTGAATTAGCTAAATTTAAATAAAATACAGTTTTAATAAATGAATAAATAAAGTCAGTCTTCCATCTTCCATCTTCCAGGTAGCACAGCCCTCTGGGATGACTTGAAGCCAGTGAGGCACGGTACAGGAAATAGTAAACTTTATCCGGGGGGTCAGCCCAGCTGCGTGTTCCTGAAACTCGGCCACCATCACTTCCCCTGGATGGAGGCTGAGTCCCAGCCATTAGCCCACAGCAGAGCATTGAGCTGTCAGATCAGAACCCTGGGGTTCTGGGGGCAGTGGGGTGGGAAAAGGGCCTCTTACCTTACACCGGTGACAGCAGGCGCCGTGGGCACACTCAGCTCCTTCCCTCAGGGTGCAATTTGAGGCATTGCAGCACGGGTTTTTACATTCCTACAGGGGCGGAGGGTATGGCCATGAGCCTCTGGGGCAGCTGAGCCGGGATACCGGTGGGGTGAAGCCCTTCCCCCACCTCCCACACTTCCCCACCCCTGCCCCACATGCCCCTGGGGCCCAAGCTCCCTAGAAAATCTTTACCACAAAATTCGCTTTATAGGTTTATCATGAAGCTCGTGTATATTAATCACAGAAAATATACAAAGCACAATCACCAGTAACATCACAACGCAGACACACATTTTGTGTGTGAATATTTACCCAGGTGTTTTTCCCTTCCACATAGACAGATACATATTTATTTTACAAAATCATAGTAGCCTTGCTGCTTTTTAATCTAATATGTACATTTCTCCCTGAAGTCCTGTATTCTTCAAAAACATGATGTTTAGCATAATATTATACTATAAAGGGATTCTGGGATTTGTTTTCTCATCCCCAGTAGAACGCCCAGAGACCACATCTTCTGCTCCTGCCCTCCCCGCCCCCACACTCCTGGGCCTGATATCCCATAAGAAAAGGCCACCGAAAGCAAAGGCCAGGCTGGAACAATCTGAAGTTTATGTCAGTCCTGAGTCCTGTCTCCCCAGACTGCTCTCACCACCTGCTGCTCTTCCTCACCCTTCACTGGCCTGGACCTTTCTGGAACAGAACGTCTTTATGGGTTCTTCCTTCTTGCCTTATGGGTCCTGACGTGCTGATGTACAGCATGAAATTTAAAAAGATGCTGAAACATCCCAATGACCCTGAGTGTCCTTATCACTCTCCTGCTATATTTGTAGGCCTATCCTAAGCCACTTGACAATGTGCCAGGCCCCCTAGGTCCACCACAGCACTGTGAGGCATGATTACTGCCATTTCACAGATGGGGAAATGGAGCTCAGACAAGTCCTATGCTGGCAGATACACACCCAGCAAGTGCTGAATCTGAAGTTAAGCCATGTCTGCCTGGGGCGTGTCCCAAGCTTATGAATCATATCATAACCTTAACCGCCCAGGTCTGGCAGGGAGAGACACATCCCATGCCCGGCTACGATACCCATCCACTTGTTTCCCCTAAGAGAAGGAAGAGGCCACTCTCCTTCCATTAATCTCCCACTGTCCTGGGCTCCAGGCAGGGTTTCCTCCTGTTTCAGGGTGGGGTTCCTCCTTTAGCTGAAGTCTGCTTTCTCTCCCTGAGCTCCTCAGAACTCCTAACTTCTTTGCCTTCAGATATGGGGTTAGAACTCACACGCCCGCCTGAGTAGGGCAGCTGCTCTCACAATACAGGTGCTCACAGCACGTACCACCAGCCCTCCTAAGCCTCTACCAGAGATTGTACTCATATACTTTTGCATTATTTGGTCAATGTATGTTTCCCCCACTAGATGATATGCTCCACAAGGACAGGAACCCTGTCTGTTCTTGCTACCCATCCTGTCCCTAGCACCCAACATAGTGCCCCACGCTCAGTAAGTACTTGCTGAACATAAGCCAGCTGGCTGAGCCCACTCGCAGACTGCTCCTCAACTCCACCAGACCCTCCATGGTAAGAGGGCTGACTCCCTCCTTTCTGATGGGTCTGGATCGATCACTCTGAACTCATGGTGGTGGGAGTGGCAGAGCCTTTAACTAGTTTTGTTTAACTAGTTTTAGTTTTGTTTTGTTTTAGGAAAGTTGTGTGCTGGCATTGGAGACAAAACTCAGGGGTGACTGGATGGCTCAGTCAGTTGAGCATCTGACTCTTGGTTTCAGCTCAGATCATGATCTCAAGGTCATGAGATCGATTCCTGTGTTAGGCTCTGAACTGAGCATGGAGTCTGGCTTAAGACTCTCTTTCCCCCCCAACCCTTGCTCTCTCTCTTTCTCTCTCTCAAAATAAAAACAATACAAAAAACCAAAAATCTAACCATAGAGAAGGTTATAACATCAAATAGTCGTATACAAACCCTCAGTCTCCCCTTCACACAGTTGACTGTTTTGCATACGTTAACGTACATATTTCATCCTTCAGAAAACGGACATGAAACCATCCAGTTCTCCTTTTTTGCAGAACAACACACATCTGGCAAAAATGACAGAGCTCCGCTGCATGCCCACCACTCAGTTTGAAGATCAGAAGGAAGTACAGAGCTTGAACACAAACAGTTCTGTTCCTTCTTCCTGCGGCAGCCCTTTCTAGACCTAACAGTACTTCCTACATCCTCTTTCAGTCCTCTCTTCTCCAGCCTAAAGAGCACAAGCTTGTTATTTTAAGCCTCCTCAAGGCCCAGGTTCAAGTTCATATATCCAACCGTGTGGCCTCTAGAATTAAGTCTGTGCAGCTGGAGGACCAAGAGGCCATCTGTGACTGCACTGGGGAGGAGACGATGGGTTTTGGTTAGACCAGACACGCTCACAAGGCGGACATCACCAGGGCTGACCTCAATCTGAGAGAGTCTGGACAAATGGTCCATATTGAAGTCTTACTCTCCACATCTGATTTGTGATGGGATGTTTGACAGCCATGCTATGTGGGAAATTCCTAAGACGAAGAAGTGGTCAGTTGCATTCTCCTTGACGCAAAGATTCGAAACCAGTGCACACTCTCCCCTTCCCAGTAGCATTACCATGACACCTTACCTCTTCCTCCCCACAGTCACATTCTTCCCCATCTTCCAGGTACCCATTCCCACACCTCCGGCCTCCATACAGCGTCCTGGTGTCTGGCATATTGGAGAGACACATCCCACCGCCTGACTGCAGATACCTGTCCAGCTCCTTCCTGTTGCAGCCATTGAACACTCTTGGAAAGGGATGCCTGGCAGAGAGTAAGGCTGGAGTCAGCTGGGATCTGAGCACCAGGCGGCCAGAACAGTCTCAGTCTGGCCGTCCATGAGGCGGATTTCACCTAGACTTAGACCCCCATAGTCCCAGGCACACGCATTCTGTCCCCTTAGAACATCACCGATACATTATCTTACAATTGTTTCTCAGCACCCCATGACATTCTTTTTTCCCTCACTGTGCACGGAGGAGGTATGTGAAAATCAGAAGCAGCAATTTCTGCCCTTTGTAGGAAAGGGTGCCATAAATAAAGGGTAATTGAATATGTTATAATAGGTTTCCTGAGTTTTAGAGCTGAACAGAATACTAGCCAATCCAAACTTTCCTGAAGCTGTTATTAGATGGAGATTTTCTTGGAACAAAAGAACAGGCCAAAAAAAGCCAAGATCATGGGTTTAATTTTTTCACTGGGGCCGGGGATCTTATGACCTCTACTCTAAGGATACAGGCAGCACTCCAAACTCAACCAGTAATTTACATATGCATAGTTTTATCACAAGATTATGAAAGGTGCCGAGTCCTTTTATTGGAAAAAAAAAAAAAAAAGAATCAGAAGTCATACATTCTCTAGCGTTGGTTCAGTACCACAATTTAGGTCTGTAAAGGAAAAGTTCGCAATGCACTAAACCAACTAGAAGTTAACCCCTTCCATTGTTTGTTCTGTCATAAGGCATTTGTAGCCAAAAATTTTTAAAGTACTTCGGTAGTTTATATTTGCGTATAGTTTAAAACAAAATGGAGTAATAATTAAAATCACTCCCAACCATATGACTATAAACACACTTTTTAGATTGAGAGAGAAAGGGGTGGCCTTAACCGTGAGCTCTTAGGGAGTTAAGCATGACCCGTGGAGTTGTATTCTGCGCATCAACATCATCCTTTACGTCACAGCCAAGAAGTGACAGACAAACACTGGACACTGGAACTCCAAGAGAATTGCATTTCCTCTTAGGGACACTGAAACACCATTCCCTAAGAAGCATAAGCAGGCTCCAACGGCTTGGGGTAAAGGGAACACAAACTCCCACCACGATACTTTCCAAAGAGTGACTCAGGTCTTGGAAGAACCCAATGCCCTCTGCTGCACGAGTTCAGATACTAAATATTAAGAGTGGTAACTAAGAATTGTGGGTGTTAACAGAATTCTCTTTCAAAAGCTCTGGTTAAAAAACCCCTCACAGATACAGGGAGATGTAGCTGGCTTGCTCTTGTTCCTCATGCTAAATGCAACCTGTAAATTCCCTGAGGAGTCACTTATGTGGGCATGGATGTTCCCTGTCCTTTTCCTTGTTGTGCAGGCTACATCAGAACTTTGACTCAGCACTGACAAAGTTCCTTTGGGATGAAGGGACTTAAGGGTTGGGGCTGTTCAAAAGGAGTCCTCTTCAAAACTTCATGAAGTGAAAAGGATACATGGGGTCAGGCCAATTTTCCAGCTGAAGACCCTAAGACAGAAATTAAATATATCTAGGGTTCTACCAGCACCAAACCACCTGCTACAGACCTAGAGCTCCTTGCACACATTTGTTTCTTGGTTCTCTTCCAATTTCTTTGTCATCAACCACATTTCTCTCCAAAGCCCCCTCGAGAGCTATAACAGAGGCTCCTAGGGCCCATGGGGAGGAACACTTGGGTTGTACCATCCTCACACACTCTGTTCTCCCCACCTTGCTGTTTGACTCACCCGGTGGCAGCTGCCATGATGCACCCGCCATCAGCCGCGCTGGCTGAGCAGCAATCCGCAGAATCATGGCTCATGCCAAAGTTGTGGCCCATCTCGTGGGCCATGGTGGCAGCCACGCCAATGGCATTCTCAGAGTGGTCCTGCCCAAGGAGAGAGTTCAGGTCAAGAAGACATCTCTCCCTACTCCCTGCTTCTGTCTTTTTTTAACCAGGCCTCATAACTGCCCACTGATTCCATGATCAGCGTGTACAGACTCCGTGATGGAAGCCTGTGTTTTTAACTGTCATGCTACATCTGTGGGTAGGGGCGTGGACAGACAGATGGGAGAGCAGGCCTCCTTGACATCTACTTCACAGGTTAGAAACGAATCATCCAAAGAGTCCCACAGAGCCAGAGAGAACTTCAAAAGAAGGCTTGAATTTCCTAACCACGACTTTGAGACAGGCTCTTGTTTCATGATGATATGCATAATAACATAAAACCTAGGATAAAGAATATTTTTAAATCTCTACTATCTTATTCTCTAGTCCCTGGTTTGGAACACATGAGAGATCTAGCGACATCACTAGATGTAATGTAGGGCTCTCCTGAGCTTGAAAATTGGGAATAAACTATAATAAATGAAATTTTACCCCTGGATACTTCCATCTTTTAGAATTTAGTGATTTTGTTTTAAACAACTGCTGTACTTGATGTCAAGGTTTTTTTTCCCTGCAATTATTTATATATATATATATGGATATATATATATATATATTTTCCCCCCCCACAAGACAACCTCCTGTCCTGTGAGGCAGTGTTCTGCCTTCTGCAGCACCAACATCCTGGCAGAGACTCACCATGTTGACTCCTCCAGACTGGTACACGGAGCACATGGCCATGAGGGGGGCCAGCCCGATGGTGGTGCCGTGGAAAGACATGCCCCTGCAGGAAGGAACAAGAGAAGGTCATTCAGATGGCAGCTGTGAGGGCTGTTCCCTGTGCCCGAGAGCAGGGGGCCATCATGGTGTTCCCTGGCCCCGCTGCCATTCCCAGATCGTTGCCAAGGAGAGACCCCAGTGTTCTAGGCCAGCTGGACAACTTCCAGGTCACCACACCTCTCCCTTCCTCGCACCTACTCTCTCACTGTTCCAGAGAACTAGAAAGGGCAAAAGGCCACTTTTTCCCACAGTATGCCCAGAGCCCCATTCCCTGGAAGGAAATGGGTGGGGCTCCTAAAGCTGCATCCCATTCCTGCTGCCGAGGAAAAAGTCAGAGGGAGGGGCTGAGGAAGAGTGGCACAGGTTCTGACTCTTAAGTGACTCATAACCACTTCTGCCAGCTGCCAGGGTCCCGTGCCACACCCTCGGCTCTGCGGTATGCGGGACAGGGAGGGGTGGAGGGATTGGGCAGCAGCTGTGGGGGCTGATGCTTCATTTCCACATCACTTTGGGGCCAAAGAAACAGATGTGTCCCATCAGGAGCCTCAGAAAGTGCAGCTGGGTGCAAAGATGAGCCGTTTCTGCCTTTGTTTTGCAATGGTGATGCAAACCTGCCAACAGCCAGCGACGATCCCCCGCCCCTCGCCCCGCCAATCCATCCCTCTCTCAGCTGTATCCATCCAGGGCAGGGGAGAGGGAATGAACAAAACACCAGTATTCTCATGCATGCCAAAAACAGGGAATTTATTTAAAGGATCTATATGGAAGTTCATTACATGGTGCTCTCATAGCTCCCTGTTTGTCTTCTCATCTAGACCATGAGAACTTGAGAGCCAAGATGGCCTTATTTCTTTGGGGGGGTTCACCAGAACTTAGTATAGAATCTGACACATAGGGGGCACTTAATAAGTGTTTGCTGAATTGAAGACAGATTCTTCTTCAGAGAAACAATTTGCAAGAAAACACATAAAATACAAGCAAATCTCTATGAAGCCCCAAAGGTTATTTTATAAACTTAGAAATGACCTTAGGGAAGTCTTACTGGACACCTGGATTCAGGGTTTTGCCCAAAGCAGGGCACCAGGCTTCCAAAATTCAGGCAAAACCCCAAAATTTCCTAGGTGAATGTACCATTGTGAAATAACCATAGTCTAGATTTCTGGTACAGTTATTTCCCCAGTTCTTTTAAAGAGTTTTTTTGTTTTTTGTTTTTTGTTTTAATTTGACACAGGGAGAGAGAGAGAGAGAGCACAAGCATGGGGAGCTGCAGAGGGAGAGGGAGAAGCAGGCTCCTCGCTGAGCAGGGAGCAGGATGCGGGGCTCAACCCAGGACCCTGCGATCATGACCTGAGCTGAAGGCAGATGCTTAACCTACTGAGCCACCCGGGCGCCCTCCCCATTTCTTTTAAAGAAGCAACAAATGTTTAAATGATTATTGATTCAGAAAGATTTTTTAGGGAACAAAAGGAAATAGTTTTACTATGTAATGTGCCTTTTCTTATAACTGTCTCAGAACACCTTTCGAAGTCAACACTAAAAATACCAGATATTCGCACCCCCCGCACCCCTGGGGGACTTTAGGGGCCCTCATGAACCCCACACTATCTATTCTTTTCTCTCGGGAATTGAAGAAGTTCCAGCACAACTCCCCCCACCCCCAATGTCTCCCTCCCCTCCAACGCACGGTTCCTGCACTATCTGCCTCTTGAAGCAGTTCCGGCTCTTGGTGCTGAGCCCCTGGGAACAAAGTGAAGGGCAAGCTGAGGAAGCTACAGCTTTGGCAGATGAGCGTGCGTTCTCCAACGAAGCACCACGAGGACCAAAAGGAGCCCCTTAGGCTGTTTGGAAGCAGCCCCTGATGGTCAGTCACTTCCCAAATACTCGTCCTGCTGTTTCAGATGGGTCAATGGAATGTGTGTAAGTCTAAGCTTCTCACCTAGATCGTCAGCACTTCTTGGGGTTGTTCTGACTCTTAGGGTTTTAGTACTTTCCTGGGTGTCCTGGCGGCAGAGCCCATGTCTGAGAAATAAGGATTATTTGGACCAGAGTGGCAGGATGGCTAGGACGACCCACACTGAGTACCGGGTGGGTGGGGGAGGGCAGGCACAGGGTGCCCACACTGCAGGCGCATGCTGTGCAGCCGGCCCCGCGGAAACACACATGCACGGAGGCCACGTACGTGATTAACTGGGCGTTGTCATGGTTCTTCTGAGTGAGCAGCTTGCGCCTCCAACTGAGAAATGACCAGAGAGTAGAGTAGGGGTTCTCCGAAACTTCACACATATTCCCATGCGTCCAGACTTCCAAGCCCACGAGCGCAATCCGGATGTTCAAGGATCGGTAAAACTGAAAACGCACACAGAGAGCCACGGCATCGGCTGTGAACACCACCCTGAGATTTACATGCCCCTTCCTAGCCTCAGCACACAGAGTGGATCCCAGATTTCTCTTTGGCACATGCCCCCGGCCATGGGGGGCGACAGGGGCTATGAGTCACATTTCTCAGGAGAGAGCAGTGAGACCCTGAGAAAGATGGCCAACGTTGTGCAGGCAGAGCTGGGGTCACTTAGCTTGGAGGAAGGATGGGACACAGGACACAGACTTGCTTCCACACGTGGACAGGGCTATCCTGTGTAGACAGCATTAGTGCTGTCTCTAAACTGCTCCTGAAGTGGGGCGTGGCCAATAGGTATGACAGACAGGAAGACCCGTTTCATTTTAAAACAGGAAAAAAAAAAATCCTTGTAACTGAAGTTAGTCATAAGGAAGCTCAGAGCTAAGCTTCGCTGTTGTCTGTGATAAGGACCCTGGGCCCAGGCATCCAGTACAATCCTCTCTCCCAGTTCCTTACATGGTTACTTATCTTTTTTATACATGTCTAAAAAGTTCTGTTATACAAAATTCCTCTTATACGTTGAGGTGTAACTTACATAACATAAAATCCACCCATTTGGGGGCGTACAGATCAATATTTTTAGTAAATTTGCCAAGTTGTAAGATGATCACCACAATCCAATTAGAGAGTATTTTCATCATACCGAGGAAGACCACCATGTCCATTTACAGTCTTTTCCCATTTTCACCCCCAGACCCAGGTGATCACTAATCTGCTTTCTGCCTCGACAGATTTACCCTTTCTAGGTGTTTCCTCTAACCAGAACGACCAGACCACACATGAGGTCTCTGCATCTGACTTCCCTCACTCAGCCTGTTTTTGAGATTCATCTCTCTCATGGCCTATATATCACTTTGTCCTTCGTTCTATTGCTAAACAGCATTTTGCTGTATCGATATGCCAGACTGTAGATGGCTGCATTATTGTGTGGGGTCTCCTACACCTTGAGAGATACGCTCATTTGCAAGTTTCCTTTCTCGTCCCTGGAGGTGTTCGGACTTTGTCACGAATGCCATGAACAAGTGGCCAGCATTAGGCGGCAAAGGTCCCAGATCACCTCTCGAGTTCTGTCCAGAGATCCTGAAATTCTAGAAATGAGACCTGACTCTCAGGTTCCTTCAGACAAGGGAGACACCTGAGCTTTGTGATGTGGTCTCTTTCATCTCCTACACATACACACAGGAAGAGGGTTCTCTGCAAAGCAAAGTGCCACCGGAAGGCACAGGTCCCAGGGATTCTTTGGCCTACCCTAGAGATTATTGAGGCAGTTACTCTGAAAACAAAATTGCACGGAAACCCAGGTCTCGTGAGCAGAAGATACCGTCTTAATCCAAAATTGGCGAGTAGTGCGGCAGCTAAAAACAACAAATCGTCACATCGATGTTTATTGAGCACATTCTATGTCCCAAGCACGGAAGCTTAGGATAGTTCAGTGACTGGCCCAGAGTCTCGGCAGGAGGACGGTGGAGGCGGGATTAAGGCCCAGACGATGAGATCGGATCTCAGAGTCACTCAAGACCCTCGCGGCTTCGGGGCCGGCATATTCACACATCTAGAGAATCATCTTGCCCCCAAGAAGCTGCGGCCTAAGATGGGCTCCAGCTTTCGTGAAAGAGCAGTTGATTGCCAAGGAAATTCTGATTTTCCCGTTTTTGTGCCAGGTCAATCGTTACAGGAAATAAAGGGTTTTATTTAGGATTCCAATTTGAACTTGCTTTATGACGGAGCTTTTAAGGACTTAAACTTGGCTTTTTTCACAGTTAAGGAAAAACATTTTGGATTTGGTTCCTGATTCAGCAAATGTAGTGCAGTTCATTCCAGTTTTAGTTCAACAACAGTTCAGTTCAAGTAGCTGGGTCAGCAAGCCCCAGAAGTGCCTTCCTTCACCCCAGCCACAGTGACTAAAATCAGCTGCTCAGGAGAAAATCAAGCCCGCTCCCCCAGAAGGGACCAGCTAAGCAAGGCTTGGGGCTTCACGTAAGGGCTGAGGCATAGTGTCGCCTCTCTCCCACTTTTCATCAGCACTCTTGGTTCTACCCCCGCAGACCAGCTGGAGAGTTCACAAAGGGGAGACCCAGCCAAGCTTCCCACCTGCTGGGTCTCCAGAACAATAGACACCACGTGGGTGAGAACAGGGTCTGCCTCCATCTACCCCCCAGGAAATGAGCTTCTCTTGTTTTCCCAGATGTTGAGTGTTTGGGATGTAGGATCATTTAAATGTTATTGTTGAGCGAACTGAGAGCTAGAGAGAGGACTGAGCTGTGTCCCTGGAGGCCTTCCTTCCAGGAAATGCTCATGACTTTCACCTGTCACCAGTGTTTCCAGAGCCATCTAGGGCGAAACAAAAACACAGACCACAGACTCTCCCGCCTGATGACTTCAGAGTGCTACCATATTTGCTTGTAAATCCATTAAAAAAAATTTTTTTTTTAAGTTCTCTTCTTGATCTTCTACTGTTTAGAAAAATATAATTTCCCCTTTGGACCTGGGCTCCATGAATCCCGAACAGGCCCAGAGCTGCAGAAGCACTGCGAGTGCACTGAAATTGTACAATAAGTGTTTTCAGATTCTTAGAGACCTGTGACCTTGAACATATTAAAATCTAGTTTTAAAAACTATTTACTACTAGCCTGTCAAGAGCGTACTGTAATTTAAGGTTATCTATTCTACTGCATTTTGCAGTATAACAAATGCCCTTTTTTATATGAACACAGTATTTCCAAGTCCCAGACCAGACTATTCTAGTAAAATTCAAGAATTTGGGTATTTCCTACGGGCATGTTTTAAAAGGGCCTGGTCCAGGAAAGTTAACCATTCACATTGTGTTTCTGAGAGAGAAATAATTTTAGAACCATTTTATAGATGAAGACCACACAGTCTTCATGATACATGAAGTGTACAGATGAAGACTATATACTCAGTTTTTAATGCTCTGTACCTTTCCCATGCTCACCTACCTCAGTTCTCCCCTAACTCAGGAAACTTCTGGGCTTTATGCCTGGAAGGAACCTTAGAGAACTTTAAAGCTTTCTTCAGCTGGGCTCTTCCATGTCTTATGTTGCCTGGCAGCCATTAGCAGGGGTGAGGGGAAGGAGCAAGAGGACCGCACTCTGGATCCTCACCCCTGCTTTGAGAGTCCGTTTTTATCTTTTATATTAGACACGGCATAAGATTTCATTGAAAAAGAAGAGTTCCACCAGAAAAACAAAAATTTTGAAAAGCCACTGATTCAAGCCAGCCCCTCTACTTTGTAAATTTAAACATAACACAAAACTGCAACCCAAAGAAGCTAAGCTCCCTGGCTAAGGTCACAGAGTTGAGAGCTTTGTCATGACCACCCTGAGCCTCTATGGCATTGCTATTCCATCTCAGAGATTGGCTGGGGTGACCAATCCCTGAGGCAGCTCAGGTGCCATGCCATCTCCTGTCCTGTGGCCCCTCTGAGGTGCTGGCACCTTTCCCGCAAAGTACACACCTGGTCTCACCTTATCAACGTAATTGGCGATCTCCATCAGCTTGTGTTTGGTGGCATCCTGGTCTCGTCGATTCTTCTGAAACTGAATGGAGCAAGAAGAGCTCGGTGAGGCCCCAGATTCCCTTCCTGGACCCTTCCTGGACCCCATTTCTTGTCTTTCAATTAGCTTTTATTTTCTCCAGGCTTCTATGAGAGCAGTTATTTTTATACAATTTCCTCTCTCCCCACACCCTCCCTACAGTGTCAGCTCAGGGAGGGCAGAACCTGGGTCATGGTCATCTTGGTATCCCCAGCTGCCAGCTCAGTGCCAGGCACACAGTAGACATGTCATAGTTGTAGAGTAAATTGAATTCTCTTCCTCCAGGCCTTGAAGTCAAACCTGTTCTCCAGTCCTCCAAATTACCAGGTCTCCTGCAAACTCTCACTGGGGCTTAGAAGTGGGACCAATCTGATCCTTGTGTTGCTCATTGCTCCAACATGAAGCCATCATCACAGGGATCTCATGAGGCCTCGCTACATGTGATCAATCATCACTCATCAAATTGCTGCTAAAAGCTGCCATGTGCAAGGCATTATGCTTGGCACTAGATAGGACACAGTGTGACATCCTGGTACTGGTCCATTTGGTCCATTTGGTCCAAATAGTACATTTCCATTTTAATGGAAAGAGAAGGGCACCTGGGGGGCTCAGTCGGTTGAGTGTCTGACTCTTGGTTTCCACTCAGGTCATGATCTCAGGGCTGTGAGATCAAGTCCTGCATCAGGCTCTGCACTCAATAGGGAGTCTGCTGGAAATTCTCTCCCACTTCCTCCCCCTTCCCCCTGCTTGCTCATTTGCTCTTTCTTTCTAAAATAATCTTAAGAAAGAAAGAAAGAAAGAAAGAAAGAAAGCCAACCCAAAATAACAACAATGGCAGAATCTGTATTTAAGAAATACACAATTAAAATGGGCACATAAATAACGGCAATGGGAAGCCACGTGAATGACACACTTGGGGGCTGGCAACCAGGACCGTAAGACCTCGGCACACAGGATTTGTCTGACATGCCACTTGGATCAACTGGCAGGGCCTTCTACAGTGAGAAGAATTCTGAGATGGTATGGGGTTCAGTAGGAAAGAGTGTTGTGCTCAATTACAAATGTCTGCCATGGGAACCAGTAGGGAGGAGACATTTCAGTAGGTAGCCTCACATTTATCATTCCTGTCTGAGAGGGAATAGATCTCCTTCAGCTGCAATGATGAAGGAAAGCTTCACAGTGTAAAGAGAAAATCTGCTACAACTGTAACCTAAATTTGCAAATGATGGGCATGTCCTGTATGCTGCCATTGTCACAGAGAATCTAGGTGCCTATCTGATCTACCTTGCACACACTGTATATGGTACTTCAATTCCAACACTTCGCATCCTTCTTCCACCCCATCCCAGAAAAACATTCAAGCAAGAATCACAAAGAACAGCCAGATAAAACACCCT